ATAAAATTGTAAAATTTATATTTAATTAAATCTTTTTAATACATATTCCATAATATTTTAGATCCTTATAATTTATTTAGTCAATAGCTGTAATTTTGTTTGTGTTAGAAAATCTTGAACAGTGACATGTAAAGATATAGTAATTTCGTACAGATGTAATTATTTATACATTTACTTATATTTAAAGTAAACAATAAATAATTTTTTTATCTACCACTGAAATTTATTTATTAAACTTTTTATCAAGTTTTTAATGAATTTGTTTTTACAAACTTCCGTTAGAAATTTAAAATCAATTAGAGTAGTCTCTAATTCGACATATATTGGACTGATGGGTGTTGGATTACTGGATTTTGTATGTACGTACAGTTAAAAAAATAGTTTGATTTACAGGTTAGTTTATTGTATTAATCATAATATGTGACTGTTTTTCCAATCGCATATACAACAAACAACTAGTGACTGACAGAATACATGTAAAGTATATCAATCTCTGTTACATACGTTGAAAAGTAGTAACATGGAAAATTTGTGCACCACCACCCTGCAGTGTCGGATTACTGGATGTGTTGGACTGTAGAGACTCTACCATATTTAAATAGTATGAAAAATTTTGTTATTTATTGAAAATAACAATTTTCTTTGATGTCCAGAATAGATTTTTTTAGTTTATTGGAAAGTCAATGCCCAAATGTCATTTAATGAATATGTATTTTTTTTAAAAATGATTTTAACTACAATTAAAGCCAGTTTGGAACAGCTGCATAAGTTATTGTTCGTGATTTTATTTATGATTATTTTATCGGAGGTAACTGAATCACTAATACAGCTGCATTAGGCATAAATGCAGCTGGTCCAATCTGATTTTAACCATTCTTAAAGTAATCTTAAGAATATATCTTAACTGTGATTCTGTTTAACAAAACTACTTTTAGATTGATAGATAAACATAATTAAAACAATACCATTTATCAAGATTTTAAACTTATTTAATAGCAGTGCTGTACATTCACTTGTACATGCTTTTTTAATATTATAAGATGCAATAATCTTTGTAAATGCAATAAACTTTTAGAATTGATAAATGACTCGCTAATGTGTTCACTACATAAATATATTAAATGTTTTCAAATATTAGAGGATATTTTGATATCTGTGAATGAATAAACATAGAATTTTTGCATTGGGAATATTGCTAAAGTTACCTTTGGAAACTTGTTGATAACTAAGTGGCTAAGGTGTAGTGATGTAATTGGTGAATTCACTTTGGGAAAACCAATTGCCGAGCTCAACATATCTTGGAGGCAATGAGTTTGACGATAAATTGATGAGATACATCATGATTCATCATTTACACAATGCAGCTTTTAAAAATACTTTCGGAGAAAATGACTTCAGGAAAACTCTCATAGCCAAATCATGACTTTTAAGCTCTCAAATTCAACTTTTGTAGACCTTGTAAATGTATGTAATTCTTGTTGTTTGAGATACGTAGTGCCAGTTTGTAACAAATGATATGCTAAATCAGAGTTTATAGTTTGAAAAGTTAGTTGTCATGATTTTAATTTTTTTAACACAACAAACATATAATAGTAAAAAAATATAATCAGAAATGTCCAAAATTAAGCAAGCAGCAATAGTTTGGCGTGCATTTCACTTACATTTATGTATTTGTGTATAGCTGGTATAGTAGAACTCTTACTTCATCAGAAATCAATGGTATTATCAAATAGTAATCACACAAAACTTGTAGTTCATATTAAAATTTAATTAATATGCTGGAATAAATTGCAAGTTTAGTTGTAATCTGAGTACATGAACAGATTAAGTTTGTTATTTAAATGTGACTTGTATTAGCAATATTGCCACAGTTGTTATCAGAGGAATAATTAAATATCATGTGCAAATTGTTTCTGATCTGAATATGCCCATTTAGACAATTTTACTTGAGATATTATTGGTAATGGAGTTTATAGATTGATTCAATCCTAAAACCAAGTATTGCTTGTGTAAATCTTGTAGTATTCAGAAAAAAAGGTAAAGATCTACAATAAAATGCATTTTTCTATTGTAACACCATTACAACATGTCTAAATTTACTCCAGTAATTCAGATATTGAATTCTATACACCATAATTTTGTGCAGATAATACACGAGTGTATATATACCCTGTAGAAATTGTAAGAACAAAAATAAAACCTTTGCATAACACCCTACCATATAACCATTCCTTTGATGCAGAGGTCAAAAGCAAGATAAAATTATCAGTATGCAATTTAGAAGTTGCCATCTCAAGCATTAAAATATTGTATTTTCTGTTTCATTTCTGTTAACAAATCATTGTAGATATACGAGGTATGGCTATTAAATAACGAGACTGACACTGTAAAACATGTTATTTTGATTTCATATAAGGACCTTGAATAAGTTCTCGCTGTTTTCCAACAGATGGCGTTACCAGAACCACGTGTGTTTATTTTTAGATGGTGACGCATCTGTAAGGAAGTACAATAAGTGACCTTGAAATTCAGTATACGTCATTTCACCGAAGTGTTAAACAACTTATTTTTTCATTGTGTTAAACATGTCTAGTTTCGTGCCAAAAAAAAGAGTATTTGCGAGGAATTTTATTGCACTATTTTATTCAAAAAAAATCTGCAGCAGAAGCGCACACAATTCTTGTTGAGACTTACGGCGACCATGCTCTGTCGGAAACAACATGCAGAGATTGGTTTAGACNATACTGTGTCTTCATGTATGTCTTGAAGAATAATTAGAAAGGCCATCCCATTGCATGTAGACTATACAGTGATACCTCGAACTTACGCAATAGGTGGGATCGAGCGATAACCGCGTAAGTCGGGGTATAATTTCGCAATTTGTGTAAAATCCAAGTTGGAGGTATGTAAGCTAATAAATGTTCTTGTTAATCTTATCTCGTCTTTTGATTTATTCGCGGTTACAAGAAATCACCACATAGTGAAGTCTCCGTAGATATAAAATACACAGAAATAAATAACACAAAATAAATTGTAGCTATGCGTCAATTCCGCGCAACACATCCAAACATATAAGCTGAACAAGAGTGTGGGGGAGTGAGTAATCAAGAGTTGCCTAGCGCTCAAACAAAAGACGATTCCACGAGATTTGAAAATCACGTAACTCTGGGTTCGCGTAAATCAAGGTATTACTGTATTTATATTAGTCCACATGTAATGAAGTAGCCTTTCTAGTTCTTCTTTAAGCTATATGAAGGCATAGTAGGCAATTCCACTTGGTACAAGGAAGTTACGTTATAAAAATNAGGTACTGCACTCGAAAGAGAAGACTTAATCTAAACAGCTGTTGGTCGCTGGTGTTTGGCACATGCATACTTCTTCTATAGCAGCATCAGTCTCATTATTTAATAGCCACACCTCGTATGTAAACAACCAATCTCAAATATCCTATCAATATAACAATCATATTAATATCAGGATTATTCAGACTATACTTTGTTTAAATATTAATAATTAATATAATTTTTTTCTAAATGTAGATGGTTACTCCACTATCTTACTCACATTAGCTAATAATTACAATAATTTTTAAATTAATTATTAAACTTAATTTATGTTGTATGATGATATTGATGATATATTAGTGCTAGTTGAAACTTTAATTGTAAATAATTGTATGAAAAATTTAATTCTTTCTATTGTCTTGTATTTTTTATTAGACTGAAGATAGATTTATCTTATTGCAAGTATTTATTTAAAAATTAAATTTCAATCCATTGAAAGAGGTCATGGTTGTAAGGAATAGTGGGGAATATATTGTAGTTAAATACTTAATTTCATTTCTTGCAAGTGTACGAATAGCTAATTATTAGTCTGGTTGGCTGCCTACTACTGCCAGTCAGAGTGTGAATCAACTTTAATTGGAATCTGAAATTTAAAATTAGTATAACCTACCACATTGTATTACCCGATCCTTCCCTTTCAAATTATTCTTCGAGAACAGTTAACTTGGGGAATATCTGTATGAAATTATGGTACTTTTTTGAAACGTGACACTTCAAAGGAGAGAGGTAAAATGTAATTGTAAAGGGTGGCTGTTTTCAAGACAGTTAATTCAGTACATTTGTCAATGATACTAAGCAAGATCAACTTGTAATTGAGGATCAAAATTAAGACAAAGATCCATAAGTAAAGTCAAGACAAGATTAAGATTTTAATTTTAAAGATTAAGTTTCTGATATGCTATGCTTTAATTATAGTTTATAAAGCAAAAAAACTATTGTATAAAGAATTAATTGTGAAAAATACACTGTTGACGAGATGCATGGGAATTTCTGCGTGATCTTTCTGAGTCAACGACAGGATCTTTGGTTCCAGCAGAATGTTGTGACAGTGCACCCTGTTTAGGAGATGCTTAATGCAGTGTTTCTAGGACCATCATCATGGCATCTATGCTTCTCCAACATCTAATGGATTTCCTCTTGTGAGACAGTGTGAATCAATGTCTCTTCCAGATATTGTCTACCTTATTCATTGAGTTGAAGGAAAGAATTGGTACCATTCTTCACAACAGTCCATATGTGACTCTTGCAGCAGTGACATGTGAAGCCCTGCATTGTGTACAATATATTTGAGTGCACAGACAACACTTTTTAACATGAGTGTTGTGGTATACAACTATATTATGTCATTAAAGCCATTTACATTGTCTTTCATCTGTAATTTGCAATGTGTCCTCTGTCCATCTGGGAAGTGACTTTTGTACCAACCAGTATGCTTGAAATTAGTTTTACATTTTTAATGTTTAATTAATGAATGTTTTTAAGTGTTTTAACAATGAACATTCATCACTATGAATTCTTGAAAAATGTTAAAGCTGTCATTCCCATTTCTGTATTTTTTTTTATACTTTTATTTTTAAATATTTTAAATGAGGTATAAATTCATTTATAATTTAAGTAATACATGAATAGTAATAATAATATATAATTTTTTTCCAGATCATATAACTAAAGGTGTTACATCAACTTAAATCAGCTTGGGCTGTTTGTCCCAATTACTTCTACCTCTCTGTTCTTCCATTTTCATTTTCTGCAATTCATCATATAATGCCTCTGTCGAGTAGAGCTCGAATCTATGCAGATGTGAACTCGCATAGACCTCGGGAATATTGGGATTACGAATCGCACGTCGTCGAATGGGGGAATCAAGACGATTATCAGTTAGTGAGAAAACTTGGTCGAGGAAAATACAGCGAAGTGTTTGAAGCAATCAATATTACTAACAATGAGAAATGTGTAGTAAAAATATTGAAGGTAAGATAAAAAAGTTCTCTTTTATTAAAACAAGTTTAGAGTAAATTTTATGTTATATTACTATTTAAAATGTATGTGTGTGTGTGTATCTCTCTCTAAATTACATATCTTAACATTTACTTTGACGTACAGTACAATATATAAATGATTCCACTTGGTACATCATCTCTGTACCAAGTGGAATTGTCTAATTAATACTGTGTCTTCATGTGTGTCTTGAAGAATAATTAGAAAGGCCATCCCATTGCATGTAGACTATATTTATATTAGTCCACATGCAATGAGGTGGCCTTTCTAGTTCTTTAAGCCATATGAAGGCGTAGTTGGCAATTCCACTTGGTACAAGGAAGTTACGTTATAAAAATTATTTGAATGTGAAATGAGTTAAATTTAACTTCTAATTTCTGTTAGTTTATGCAGGATAAAAACTTGATTTTATTGTGTATCAGTTTTGTTTTTTAATAATAGAAGATATTGAGAGATTAATTTAGCAGTAATAGAAGTGACAGAACATTTCTGGAGGAAGGGCAATTTTTTTTGCCTGGTGTTACATTAATTGTATCTTCCATTGAATCATTTTATAGTAGTTTTCATTTATGCCAGTAGCATAAGCTTATTTTCACTGCTTTAATACATGTAATAATATATTTCTAGACTGCTGTCTTTTCTGAGTTGAATTCATTTCTAAAATAAAGGAATCGACTAAAACAAAAACTTCAAATTTTCCAAACCCAAAACAAATGAACTCTTAATTATTTCGTAAAAGTGGACTGTCCCCATAAGTTATAGAAACCTCATATAACCTAAAGAAATAGAGGCCACTTCATTGTGTGTGGATTGTAGATAAGTGTACCGATTCAATGTTCTGACTTTTCATGCTTTTCAGTCTAAGGATTCTGATTTAATGAATTTAGACTTAGAGTGATATAAATAGTTAAGATATTTTGTAATAGTACAGCAAACTTTCCTTAATCTGACTGTTCCTTATGTAGGAAGAGGCCAGATTAGCAAGGATTACTGAGTTGTTTAAAGGCAATGAATGGCATGAACCATTACCCTTTGACACTGATTATTTTTGGAGGTAGACAGGCAAATAAGAAGATGCATCAACATGCAGTACTGTACAGAAATGAAACCTGTATATCAGGGAAACAATGTGTGACGTGACAAACATTTTCATGGAAATGGAAATGTGATCTCACTGGAACATATAGTGGATGATTGAGAAACCAGGGGCTGTATTCTGGTCATTGTCTCTTGTCTGTCGTCTCTCACAAGTCGGTCGCTGATTGGCTGATCATTTGTTTGTCTTGAGAGATCATCGCATCTCTCTAAATGCAATTCTGGACAATTTTTTCTCTTTTCGCTTCTCTCATTTGTCAGAGGCGAACGGGTAGTTGTCTTTTGACCAGTCTATCGTCTTTTGCCTTGATTTCGTTATATCCAATATGGACGACTGGATGCTACTTGCGCTGTACAATCGTATTAGAGAACATTCTCTACTCGGGAAAGAATATTTCCAGAGAGAAAATGCTTCTGATTTTTTTCCAGTGCCTACTCTGAAATGTCACTGATTCCATTTTTTTTTTTAATCCTACATCAATTATTGAACTATCGAATATGATAATCTTACTTAGATAGTTAAGGAGAAATTAGATGGTAGTATTTCAAAAAATATCCAAGTATGCATGCTTTTCTAACTTAGGTTATTAAAATATTTTTGTTAAAAGACATTGACATTACAATCTGTAAAAATGTTTTAAAAACAAGTTTGTCGAAATTACATGCTTTATTTGAACACGTGCTTTCCTTGCCATGTGATCTTGATTACGTACTTTGCATTTTCGAAAATTTTACAATTTCATTGGTTAAAATCCTATACCATGTTGTGCACACAGATAATCCAAACATGTATAATCAACCGAATAGAATTGTGATGTCAACAACAAAGACGAGATTGTTACGAACGACCAGAATTGCCACTGTGTATGAGAGACGAATTTCATCTCTTGCTTTGACGTCATTCGTTGGTGAAAGAAGAGACGAGAGATAAGTGACCAGAATACGGCCCCAGATTGGCAAAAGTCTATTATAATTAGAAATTATTACAGTAGATGGCTGAGGCAGTTAAGGTATCAGCTTATATTCTGGAGGACCCACATTGAATTGGATAGTGGAAAACCTCTAGGTGTTTTTCATGGTGGTCTGTCTTGGCCAGTTCCTTGTCACTTTGCTGTCTCCATTGTGGGCCTGGCTAAATCTATGATGGTATGAAAAAAGGTCCTTTCAATGATCAAAGGGTAGAAGAGAGCTAAAAAAATTTAGATAGAATAACTGACAATGCATCTGCAGGAGCTGTCTGAGTTGCATTCCAGGCTGATCTTTTCTTCTGGAATTTTTGAAATTAATTTATTTCTGATTTAATAATGACGATATAAGATAGAAGAAACCTAATTACTTCCAGTCCAAATATGTAAATGAACTTTACAAGCTTGAAAATAAGCTTGTAAAGTTCATTTACTGATTTATATTGTATGCAAACACTGAATTGGTTATTTATTTTATTCAGCATATGGCTTATACATGACAGAAACAAAGCGTAACAAAATGGAGCAATACAAAATTAGAAATGAAACAGGAGAATAAGAAGCAGTAAATCTATATACGATTAAACAATTATAAAGCTGTACAATTATGTGACTGCACATATACACAAGAATATAAAGAGCATTCAGAGCTGTAGATCCAACTTAGAGCAGTAATTGAACAAAAATTTTCCGTTATTTTAAACTGTTTCTTTTAAAGTAGCTGTATTTTCTTGTTGAAAATTATAAAGTGATACTGTCTTATAGATATCTCTAATATAATATAATGTGTTACTGTACTATATTTTTAAATATTTTGAGAGTTCCAAATTTTAGTATTAAGAAGAAAGCTGCTAATTGTATAAGAATTTGAAGGTAATTGTAAAAAGGATTAGGGTATGTTTAGTGAGCAATTATTTTAAAAAAGGTGTGAGACAAATAGTAGCAAAAACATGGAATTAAAGAAGAGAAACAATCTTAAGAGATTTTTTTCTATACCCTATTCTATAATAAAGGCATTGAAACAGGTTTAAGTTAAAAGAAAGATCATAATGACACTAGATAATAAACATCTTAAAGCCCTTCATAATGACACTAGTCTTTCCCCTGTATAGAGGTGATAGTTAAGAGTGCCGTTCTTATAGATAACATTCTTTTCACAAATGCACAACACAATGACAATACCTGGTGATTCACTTGGACTGGATACTAATACAGTGAAATATCTGTGTGAGAACGGAGGGGTAGAGCGTCGAGCTGCTTCCCGCTTACCGGCGGCTCGGTCAGAGATGGCTTTATAGGAGGGCTAAAATATGAGTGGAGAGGGATAGTGAGATCGTGACAAGGTACCGATTGCACTCAAGGATGACACATAATAAAATAGTCAATTAAATATCTTTATTTTATAACTTATATAAACAATACAAATCAAAAAGGTTACAATAAATCGTCTAATAAGACTCTTAACTAACTACCTAAGATCTAACTCTAGAGATCTAATATTGTCGAATCTTAAGCTATGATCGAGAGAGTGACGGGAAATGAAAGAGAGTATCGAAATGTGGTTAGTTGATTAACTCGCGGATTTCCGATTTCGTCGTATTGGAGGTTGTCAAAACGTCCTCAGATCAGCAGTTCCTGATTGTAGTCTCCCTTCTCTTCAGGTCAGAGAAAATGTCAGGAAGGCAGGAGTTGCAACAGATGGTATGGAGGTATGGGTCTGGTGTCCCTTGATGTCTGCTGGCAGGGTCTGCCTAGCTGTGTCCACTATGTCCTCTTGGCTGTTTGCCGTTGATATGTCTGCCCAGAGGTGCAAGTGCAACACCTTTTTATACACCTCCCAAAGGGGAAATTCTCGAGGAAAATCTGATGCAATCGCCTTTGCAGCTAGAGCTGTTTATGCTAATCAAACAGTTCTTTTGATTTATTATGCTTTCTCCCCATTATTGTGACACTTTCCCATCATAACTTTGACAAAAACTGTCAACTTCTTACTTTAATTGCCTCCGGCAGCTAAAGTCAAAACATCCGCGGGCCACCAGGGTGATGATTTTGTTGACCTTTTTGTACTCTCTATCATGTAACAAGTGGAGGTTCTTGTTAATTGGCTACTGATTTGTACATTGTAACGAAGGTGAACTGACTAATCCCCTGTTGTGAGGGGAGACCTTCCTTAGGGATGACCTAAACATCTTTGAAAGTCTAGCGGTCACCCAACAAAGTGACGCAGTGTACTAAGGGGTCAAAAGATCTAGCTTCAACAAAACCGGAGGGAAAAAAGAAATAATGATGAAAAATAATTTTATAATTGTTTAATCTTTTTAAAAGTCCCAAGAATCCAGAGCCTCACAATCTGCATATAAAGTGAAAAGACGAGGACAAAACACACCTAATGATACTCATTTGTGGCAAGGTGCTCTATCAAGATAAGTTTATACGTTATTCAAATGAGACCATAAAATTGCGAGGTATTGCTTGTCTTTGGGAACATTACAGTAAAATGAATAGAATAGTTGTCCAAGAAATAGAACAGTTTAAGTATAACAACTAAAACTGGATGTAAAATTTATTATAAAGTAAAATAATGTTAAGCTAATCTGTAACTGAAATATTTAATAATTTTTATTATTTGTGCTAGAATGCAAATATTAAAGGTTTGACTCTACGGAGGACTTATCACAAACTATTGACATTTGTCAGAGTAATCAAATAGTAACGGGTGAATGCAGTTTTATTATAACTACTATATACATTTCTGACAGTCTCGTCCGTCATCGGCCGTGATCATTACTGTTTGGTGGGTTTACGGACTCTAACATACGAGCGGTATTATGTTACAAAACAATGATTAATGATTAAAATTGATTACTCTGACAAATGTCAATAGTGTGCGATATGTCCTCCGTGTATCAAAAATTGTAATATAAGGNATTAGTTTTACATTTTTAATGTTTAATTAATGAATGTTTTTAAGTGTTTTAACAATGAACATTCATCACTATGAATTCTTGAAAAATGTTAAAGCTGTCATTCCCATTTCTAGTGATGGACAATACTTTCAGTGACGTGTTTATTACGACTTTTTTTAAATAAAGTGTTAATTTTCACAAAAAAACAGCGAGAACTTATTCAAGGTCCTTATACATATTTACTTATTACCTTTAATATACACCCCTCTATCCCGACAACGCTCCATGCGAATCTTCCATTGTTCGAAACAGTGCTGGAAGTCTTCTGTCAGCTCCTTCAGGACGCGTGCCGCTTTCTCTTTCACAGCTTTAATGGACTCAAATCTTGTTCCTTTTAATGCAGATTTTACCTTAGGAAACAGATAGTCGCACGGCTCAAGATCCAGCAAATAAGGTGGATGGTCTAACACTGGGATGCTGTACTTGGCTAGAAACCTCCTGACAGACAATGCAGAATGAGCTGGCACATTGTCTTGGTGGAGAACCCATGACTCGTTCTTCCACATCCCGGTTGTTTTTTCTTTATTCTTTCACGGAGTTCAGTAAGAACGTGAAGGTAATAAACTTTTATTTAACAGTAATGTTGATTAATAGTTTGACCTTCAGGAACCCAGTGAGGGTACACAATCCCATGAATATTGAAAAAAACAATCATCATTGCTTTGAATTTTGATTTGCTCATTCGAGCTTTTTTGGCTCTTGCTTAAGTTTCAGTAGTGGTTTTTCCAAGTTTCATGTGAAATTTCACAACAATTTGTTGCTCTATTGTTACACTTAACATTTTTCTGGCGAAACAAAAAAACAACTCTAATGCGTACGAAGGCTACGGCTATACGGATTTGTTTACAGAAGCGAGAGGTACTGCACTCGAAAGAGAAGACTTAATCTAAACAGCTGTTGGTCGCTGGTGTTTGGCACATGCATACTTCTTCTATAGCAGCATCAGTCTCATTATTTAATAGCCACACCTCGTATGTAAACAACCAATCTCAAATATCCTATCAATATAACAATCATATTAATATCAGGATTATTCAGACTATACTTTGTTTAAATATTAATAATTAATATAATTTTTTTCTAAATGTAGATGGTTACACCACTATCTTACTCACATTAGCTAATAATTACAATAATTTTTAAATTAATTATTAAACTTAATTTATGTTGTATGATGATATTGATGATATATTAGTGCTAGTTGAAACTTTAATTGTAAATAATTGTATGAAAAATTTAATTCTTTCTATTGTCTTGTATTTTTTATTAGACTGAAGATAGATTTATCTTATTGCAAGTATTTATTTAAAAATTAAATTTCAATCCATTGAAAGAGGTCATGGTTGTAAGGAATAGTGGGGAATATATTGTAGTTAAATACTTAATTTCATTTCTTGCAAGTGTACGAATAGCTAATTATTAGTCTGGTTGGCTGCCTACTACTGCCAGTCAGAGTGTGAATCAACTTTAATTGGAATCTGAAATTTAAAATTAGTATAACCTACCACATTGTATTACCCGATCCTTCCCTTTCAAATTATTCTTCGAGAACAGTTAACTTGGGGAATATCTGTATGAAATTATGGTACTTTTTTGAAACGTGACACTTCAAAGGAGAGAGGTAAAATGTAATTGTAAAGGGTGGCTGTTTTCAAGACAGTTAATTCAGTACATTTGTCAATGATACTAAGCAAGATCAACTTGTAATTGAGGATCAAAATTAAGACAAAGATCCATAAGTAAAGTCAAGACAAGATTAAGATTTTAATTTTAAAGATTAAGTTTCTGATATGCTATGCTTTAATTATAGTTTATAAAGCAAAAAAACTATTGTATAAAGAATTAATTGTGAAAAATACACTGTTGACGAGATGCATGGGAATTTCTGCGTGATCTTTCTGAGTCAACGACAGGATCTTTGGTTCCAGCAGAATGTTGTGACAGTGCACCCTGTTTAGGAGATGCTTAATGCAGTGTTTCTAGGACCATCATCATGGCATCTATGCTTCTCCAACATCTAATGGATTTCCTCTTGTGAGACAGTGTGAATCAATGTCTCTTCCAGATATTGTCTACCTTATTCATTGAGTTGAAGGAAAGAATTGGTACCATTCTTCACAACAGTCCATATGTGACTCTTGCAGCAGTGACATGTGAAGCCCTGCATTGTGTACAATATATTTGAGTGCACAGACAACACTTTTTAACATGAGTGTTGTGGTATACAACTATATTATGTCATTAAAGCCATTTACATTGTCTTTCATCTGTAATTTGCAATGTGTCCTCTGTCCATCTGGGAAGTGACTTTTGTACCAACCAGTATGCTTGAAATTAGTTTTACATTTTTAATGTTTAATTAATGAATGTTTTTAAGTGTTTTAACAATGAACATTCATCACTATGAATTCTTGAAAAATGTTAAAGCTGTCATTCCCATTTCTGTATTTTTTTTTATACTTTTATTTTTAAATATTTTAAATGAGGTATAAATTCATTTATAATTTAAGTAATACATGAATAGTAATAATAATATATAATTTTTTTCCAGATCATATAACTAAAGGTGTTACATCAACTTAAATCAGCTTGGGCTGTTTGTCCCAATTACTTCTACCTCTCTGTTCTTCCATTTTCATTTTCTGCAATTCATCATATAATGCCTCTGTCGAGTAGAGCTCGAATCTATGCAGATGTGAACTCGCATAGACCTCGGGAATATTGGGATTACGAATCGCACGTCGTCGAATGGGGGAATCAAGACGATTATCAGTTAGTGAGAAAACTTGGTCGAGGAAAATACAGCGAAGTGTTTGAAGCAATCAATATTACTAACAATGAGAAATGTGTAGTAAAAATATTGAAGGTAAGATAAAAAAGTTCTCTTTTATTAAAACAAGTTTAGAGTAAATTTTATGTTATATTACTATTTAAAATGTATGTGTGTGTGTGTATCTCTCTCTAAATTACATATCTTAACATTTACTTTGACGTACAGTACAATATATAAATGATTCCACTTGGTACATCATCTCTGTACCAAGTGGAATTGTCTAATTAATACTGTGTCTTCATGTGTGTCTTGAAGAATAATTAGAAAGGCCATCCCATTGCATGTAGACTATATTTATATTAGTCCACATGCAATGAGGTGGCCTTTCTAGTTCTTTAAGCCATATGAAGGCGTAGTTGGCAATTCCACTTGGTACAAGGAAGTTACGTTATAAAAATTATTTGAATGTGAAATGAGTTAAATTTAACTTCTAATTTCTGTTAGTTTATGCAGGATAAAAACTTGATTTTATTGTGTATCAGTTTTGTTTTTTAATAATAGAAGATATTGAGAGATTAATTTAGCAGTAATAGAAGTGACAGAACATTTCTGGAGGAAGGGCAATTTTTTTTGCCTGGTGTTACATTAATTGTATCTTCCATTGAATCATTTTATAGTAGTTTTCATTTATGCCAGTAGCATAAGCTTATTTTCACTGCTTTAATACATGTAATAATATATTTCTAGACTGCTGTCTTTTCTGAGTTGAATTCATTTCTAAAATAAAGGAATCGACTAAAACAAAAACTTCAAATTTTCCAAACCCAAAACAAATGAACTCTTAATTATTTCGTAAAAGTGGACTGTCCCCATAAGTTATAGAAACCTCATATAACCTAAAGAAATAGAGGCCACTTCATTGTGTGTGGATTGTAGATAAGTGTACCGATTCAATGTTCTGACTTTTCATGCTTTTCAGTCTAAGGATTCTGATTTAATGAATTTAGACTTAGAGTGATATAAATAGTTAAGATATTTTGTAATAGTACAGCAAACTTTCCTTAATCTGACTGTTCCTTATGTAGGAAGAGGCCAGATTAGCAAGGATTACTGAGTTGTTTAAAGGCAATGAATGGCATGAACCATTACCCTTTGACACTGATTATTTTTGGAGGTAGACAGGCAAATAAGAAGATGCATCAACATGCAGTACTGTACAGAAATGAAACCTGTATATCAGGGAAACAATGTGTGACGTGACAAACATTTTCATGGAAATGGAAATGTGATCTCACTGGAACATATAGTGGATGATTGAGAAACCAGGGGCTGTATTCTGGTCATTGTCTCTTGTCTGTCGTCTCTCACAAGTCGGTCGCTGATTGGCTGATCATTTGTTTGTCTTGAGAGATCATCGCATCTCTCTAAATGCAATTCTGGACAATTTTTTCTCTTTTCGCTTCTCTCATTTGTCAGAGGCGAACGGGTAGTTGTCTTTTGACCAGTCTATCGTCTTTTGCCTTGATTTCGTTATATCCAATATGGACGACTGGATGCTACTTGCGCTGTACAATCGTATTAGAGAACATTCTCTACTCGGGAAAGAATATTTCCAGAGAGAAAATGCTTCTGATTTTTTTCCAGTGCCTACTCTGAAATGTCACTGATTCCATTTTTTTTTTTAATCCTACATCAATTATTGAACTATCGAATATGATAATCTTACTTAGATAGTTAAGGAGAAATTAGATGGTAGTATTTCAAAAAATATCCAAGTATGCATGCTTTTCTAACTTAGGTTATTAAAATATTTTTGTTAAAAGACATTGACATTACAATCTGTAAAAATGTTTTAAAAACAAGTTTGTCGAAATTACATGCTTTATTTGAACACGTGCTTTCCTTGCCATGTGATCTTGATTACGTACTTTGCATTTTCGAAAATTTTACAATTTCATTGGTTAAAATCCTATACCATGTTGTGCACACAGATAATCCAAACATGTATAATCAACCGAATAGAATTGTGATGTCAACAACAAAGACGAGATTGTTACGAACGACCAGAATTGCCACTGTGTATGAGAGACGAATTTCATCTCTTGCTTTGACGTCATTCGTTGGTGAAAGAAGAGACGAGAGATAAGTGACCAGAATACGGCCCCAGATTGGCAAAAGTCTATTATAATTAGAAATTATTACAGTAGATGGCTGAGGCAGTTAAGGTATCAGCTTATATTCTGGAGGACCCACATTGAATTGGATAGTGGAAAACCTCTAGGTGTTTTTCATGGTGGTCTGTCTTGGCCAGTTCCTTGTCACTTTGCTGTCTCCATTGTGGGCCTGGCTAAATCTATGATGGTATGAAAAAAGGTCCTTTCAATGATCAAAGGGTAGAAGAGAGCTAAAAAAATTTAGATAGAATAACTGACAATGCATCTGCAGGAGCTGTCTGAGTTGCATTCCAGGCTGATCTTTTCTTCTGGAATTTTTGAAATTAATTTATTTCTGATTTAATAATGACGATATAAGATAGAAGAAACCTAATTACTTCCAGTCCAAATATGTAAATGAACTTTACAAGCTTGAAAATAAGCTTGTAAAGTTCATTTACTGATTTATATTGTATGCAAACACTGAATTGGTTATTTATTTTATTCAGCATATGGCTTATACATGACAGAAACAAAGCGTAACAAAATGGAGCAATACAAAATTAGAAATGAAACAGGAGAATAAGAAGCAGTAAATCTATATACGATTAAACAATTATAAAGCTGTACAATTATGTGACTGCACATATACACAAGAATATAAAGAGCATTCAGAGCTGTAGATCCAACTTAGAGCAGTAATTGAACAAAAATTTTCCGTTATTTTAAACTGTTTCTTTTAAAGTAGCTGTATTTTCTTGTTGAAAATTATAAAGTGATACTGTCTTATAGATATCTCTAATATAATATAATGTGTTACTGTACTATATTTTTAAATATTTTGAGAGTTCCAAATTTTAGTATTAAGAAGAAAGCTGCTAATTGTATAAGAATTTGAAGGTAATTGTAAAAAGGATTAGGGTATGTTTAGTGAACAATTAATTTAAAAAAGGTGTGTGACAAATAGCAGCAAAAACATGGTATTAAAGAAGAGAAACAATCTTAAGAGATTTTCTTCTATATCTTATTCTATAATAAAGGCATTGAAACAGGTTTAAGTTAAAAGAAAGATCATAATGACACTAGATAATAAACATCTTAAAGCCCTTCATAATGACACTAGTCTTTCCCCTGTATAGAGGTGATAGTTAAGAGTGCCGTTCTTATAGATAACATTCTTTTCACAAATGCACAACACAATGACAATACCTGGTGATTCACTTGGACTGGATACTAATACAGTGAAATATCTGTGTGAGAACGGAGGGGTAGAGCGTCGAGCTGCTTCCCGCTTACCGGCGGCTCGGTCAGAGATGGCTTTATAGGAGGGCTAAAATATGAGTGGAGAGGGATAGTGAGATCGTGACAAGGTACCGATTGCACTCAAGGATGACACATAATAAAATAGTCAATTAAATATCTTTATTTTATAACTTATATAAACAATACAAATCAAAAAGGTTACAATAAATCGTCTAATAAGACTCTTAACTAACTACCTAAGATCTAACTCTAGAGATCTAATATTGTCGAATCTTAAGCTATGATCGAGAGAGTGACGGGAAATGAAAGAGAGTATCGAAATGTGGTTAGTTGATTAACTCGCGGATTTCCGATTTCGTCGTATTGGAGGTTGTCAAAACGTCCTCAGATCAGCAGTTCCTGATTGTAGTCTCCCTTCTCTTCAGGTCAGAGAAAATGTCAGGAAGGCAGGAGTTGCAACAGATGGTATGGAGGTATGGGTCTGGTGTCCCTTGATGTCTGCTGGCAGGGTCTGCCTAGCTGTGTCCACTATGTCCTCTTGGCTGTTTGCCGTTGATATGTCTGCCCAGAGGTGCAAGTGCAACACCTTTTTATACACCTCCCAAAGGGGAAATTCTCGAGGAAAATCTGATGCAATCGCCTTTGCAGCTAGAGCTGTTTATGCTAATCAAACAGTTCTTTTGATTTATTATGCTTTCTCCCCATTATTGTGACACTTTCCCATCATAACTTTGACAAAAACTGTCAACTTCTTACTTTAATTGCCTCCGGCAGCTAAAGTCAAAACATCCGCGGGCCACCAGGGTGATGATTTTGTTGACCTTTTTGTACTCTCTATCATGTAACAAGTGGAGGTTCTTGTTAATTGGCTACTGATTTGTACATTGTAACGAAGGTGAACTGACTAATCCCCTGTTGTGAGGGGAGACCTTCCTTAGGGATGACCTAAACATCTTTGAAAGTCTAGCGGTCACCCAACAAAGTGACGCAGTGTACTAAGGGGTCAAAAGATCTAGCTTCAACAAAACCGGAGGGAAAAAAGAAATAATGATGAAAAATAATTTTATAATTGTTTAATCTTTTTAAAAGTCCCAAGAATCCAGAGCCTCACAATCTGCATATAAAGTGAAAAGACGAGGACAAAACACACCTAATGATACTCATTTGTGGCAAGGTGCTCTATCAAGATAAGTTTATACGTTATTCAAATGAGACCATAAAATTGCGAGGTATTGCTTGTCTTTGGGAACATTACAGTAAAATGAATAGAATAGTTGTCCAAGAAATAGAACAGTTTAAGTATAACAACTAAAACTGGATGTAAAATTTATTATAAAGTAAAATAATGTTAAGCTAATCTGTAACTGAAATATTTAATAATTTTTATTCTTTGTGCTAGAATGCAAATATTAAAGGTTTGACTCTACGGAGGACTTATCACAAACTATTGACATTTGTCAGAGTAATCAAATAGTAACGGGTGAATGCAGTTTTATTATAACTACTATATACATTTCTGACAGTCTCGTCCGTCATCGGCCGTGATCATTACTGTTTGGTGGGTTTACGGACTCTAACATACGAGCAGTATTATGTTACAAAACAATGATTAATGATTAAAATTGATTACTCTGACAAATGTCAATAGTGTGCGATATGTCCTCCGTGTATCAAAAATTGTAATATAAGGACAAAAAGCAAATAATAAAGTTTATTAAAACTCCAGGAAAGAGCATATATATTTTAATATTGTCTAAGGAGATGCAGTGTTTTTAATAATAATTTTTAAGTTTTTTATAATAATCGTAACTTAAAAATATATATTGAAATCTCAATTTTAAATGTTTGATTTGTTTCTGCTAAGTGACGGCAGAGTTTGGAACTTTTCCAAAAATATTACAAAATCTGTTCGCAGTTTAAAATGTAGAACGGCAATACAATTTTTAATTTTATTATATAAAATTTAGAGCAAAAGTAATATTAATTTTAAAAAATTTCAATTGTCTGCCTTAATTAATTAAACCTTAAACTGAGTCGACTTTAAATTTCTTGGATAGATTCCGACAACGAATACTTTTTGTCAACTTTTAACTATTATTTAATAGAGAGATTTCGTTTAAAAAATGCTCTGCATTTTATTTAATAACAAGGAATAAAATCAATAAAATTTAATGTTTAAAAATAATTTTACAAGAATATATTGTAATTCTAAAAATAAAGCGTTAAGAGAAAGTCGTTAAAAATCTATAACGAATCATAACTAATTTTACACTAGAAAAATTAAAAGCGATATATAAATATCTGTTGCTGTATATTTTGTTCTTTAAATCTGAAATTTTGCCAAAAATGCATTTTGGTAATGTCGGTGGGCCAAGTTCGAAATGTTTGGAATTTAAAGGTATTTGTATATTATAAAACTTAGTCAAAACATAAACTTAACTTCATTTCTGCATTTAAAGTGATACAATTAAAGATTTGTTAACTTTGTGAGAGATTCTGAAAAATTCAATAACCGATGCAATAACAATTGACACATTTATATCGCACCTGTTTATAATAGTTCAACGTAATTTCAATTATAAATAAGGTTTCAAAATTTACAGTAGTAAAATAATTGTTTTTTAATTAATATAGTTTTTTGGTTTTTGATATAATTGCATATAAAAAAAATTGAGAAAGTTAAGTTTGTTTATCTCTGCAGTTAAATAAATTAAAAAATAGCATTTTAAAAGCTTAATACTTGACATAGAAAATCATTCAAGTATTAAATTTTTCTTTTATATTTTAATTTCTTTTGTTATTTAAATATAATTCAGATATTGCTGATACAAGGAAGTGGCGGCAGCATGTTATGTATTAATTTTACACTGACAGACTTTTAGTCGAGGGGATAACTTTTTGTCTAAATGTTTTTGAGAAGTATCTTCTTGTCTTACATAATCGCGCACGTGTACACACCTGAATCAAATTGATTTAGATACTGCCTTTACATTCTATTATGTAATCTACACAGCGATTCACTTGTGACCAAACACTTATTATGCATAATATCTTCATTTAAAATGAGAACATGAGCACAAAACGTGAACAGAGTGATTCTTTATTTCACAGTGAAGCAGTTGCTGCAATTACTCAGAATAAATGTGATACCCTGTTGGCTAGGTGGCTTTGCAAATGTGATTCCACAGTGTTGCAGTTTTGGTTGAATGCGACTGGATGCTAGTGGCAGACACTTCTAGCATCATCTGAGAGATTTGTGTATGTCTTGGACCAAGACTCGGTACGAGACAAATAAGAATCTCTCGAAGCTTGTTTTGTAATGTAAAACAGACAGTGTTGTTAAAATGTGACTGCAGTCCCGAGTTACCAAGCAAAATAAGTGTTTGGTTTAGAGTTAAATTGCCCTGTACAACTTCTAATCTAACATTTGAATATTACATTTTAAAAAATTAACTGCTTTATATTAATTTAAATAATTAAAAATATCTATTTCTTAAAAATCTTGAGAAATTAGACATGAATGGCCTAAAAATCCTTTATAAATCAATACAACCATTTTTAATTTATCCAAAAATTATTCCATATTCATTATTTGCATTATGCGAAAGTCAAATACATTACAACTTCATACATATATGATGATCAAGTTTTAAATGATTGTAAAATAACACCTTCATTTGCTTGTCTTCGAATATTAGTTTTCAAGCATTTTTGATTTTGTACCACTATCTGGAAATAAATTAATAATATATATAAATTCTTTGAGAATAAGTTGGGATATAAAGAGAAGATTCAACAAAATGACACAGGAACAGGATATATTTTATGCAGTGAGTTTAGAATATAATGTGATAAAGATGCAGAGTAAATACAGTAAAAGTTGTATAGATCTTGTAACTCCTTCGTCATTTTTTAAATAGAATGCCTTTTCCCATTACTGTCAATTTTCTAGCGGTATACATTTTATGCAGCGATATGGGATATTAGTTATTTAACATCATTGCTAACATTGTTTAAATTCAGCGTGATGTGCAAATCTGTTATTACCTTTGATACTACTGCTGCTACTATTAGGTCGTATTGCATCTGCTTTTAAAATTGAATAATACAGTCCCTGTAGTTTGGATTCCTATATCACAGTGAAAAAATTGCGACAGTATTCATACAAACATGCTAAAAAAAAACTCGTATAATTCAGTAAAACGTCATCGTGTTGCGACAGGATTGATCGAATCTAGACCAATAGCGGATATTGTACAAACCGTTGAGTTTAAACGAGCAGCAGACCTACTAAAAACCATTTATTTTTAACGTCCATAAAAATTATATTTATATTAATGATATCTCCAAAGTTCAGCGAATTTTTTGCAAAAAAAAAAAAAAAAAAATTATCGGGAAGCACGCGAGCGCCATTCAATGAGAAGCTCCACGGCGAAAACAAGCTTAAGCAATGGCGTAGTCGAATGGTGCACGCTCGGTAAGTAATCCTACAATTTTTTGTTTATAGCATAGTTTATATGGATTATTCCCCAAAAATTATACGTATTTTGGAAATGTTGAGTCGAATTAGTCTAGAATTGATTAATTTTATGGAAGAAACCTTTCAAACAGCCGTAGTCCGTAAACTGCATACGTGCTAGGCTGTGATTGGCTGGACTCGTAGAAAATGGATTAATAAAAACCAGAATGTATCTGCTGTGTTATAGGGGGATCGACTGTACATTATTATTATTATTTACGCCAAAATAGCATATATATTTGACAATAATTTCTTGATTAGATGATAATCAACAATGAATATAAGTTTCATTTGTATGACAAGATAAATAAATGCTGTGATAAAACTTAAATAACAAAAGGTTTATTATATATAATTATTGCATACTTAATTGAAAATGTAAAGTTTTTTGTGACTTGACTGTACAATTTCTGAATTTGTGATAAATTCAACCTTTTAAATGGTTTTGGCAAGTGTCAGACTCATTCACACCTTTAAATCTATTTCTGGTAGAAATTTTACCTGTATGACATGGAATTATGATTTATGCTGCTGCTTATTTGATTTTACATTTCTTTATGCCATAGATTAATCAAAAAAAGTTCTAAAAAAATGTGAAATAACTCATGTAAGTCTAGATTTGTTTCTAAATTCCTGACTCGTATGTAAAAAAAAATTAGGAAATTTTAGTTTGTTTTAATTACTTATGAAAGCCTTTTGATCTTCCTCGTGCACTTTTCATTGAAGAATTGTTCTTTTTTCAGTGAAATATAAGATAAAATCATTATAAAACCGATTTTTTTTTATGTAACAAGTGTTCTCTACTCTACTCAAGGATCTCTCAATGAGGAAAAATGCTGGAACTCTCAACTAATGTATCAGATTCTGAAAGTGATAGTAATAGTGAAAATGAGGATGTAACCTTCACTGATTGAAACATACAAATTGGATCGCAAATCTGTCAAATTGGAAGATGCAACATGATTTTGTAATCTGAAATAGAGGAAGCATTGACAAACTTGTCTTATTAGTGCGTAAAGGTAGTACAATTTGGCAGAAAACTCTACATTGCACTGGGAGAAAGCTCGTTCACACAACATACAGTCGCATCCATAAGGTTGTAATGTTACCAGGATCATTTTTAGAAGCAGCAGAAGATATATTCTTTCTTTTTTTATTGACAACTCACATAGACAATACTGTAAAATTTAAATTAATAATAATTTACTTTTACAAAATATTCAGTTTAATTCCACACAGTTCACCAGGCTCCTCACGACCATTTGTTATAAAATTAGCATTGATGTTTAAGGATTGATTTCGAATGGAGTTTTTATATTAAAAACAATGACTTAATGTGTTCTTTTCCTTTGATAGCCTGTCAAGAAAAAGAAGATTAAGCGAGAAATCAAAATTCTTGAAAATCTGCGTGGTGGACCAAATATAATCAACTTGCAGGCAGTAGTTAAAGATCCTATTGTATGCATTTTATGTTATTTATTAAATATAAGCTTAAGTTATTATATATTTTGAAGTTGTTAGAATTTTTTTAATATATATAAATATTATATTTATGATACTCTTTAAAAATTTTGAATATAACTAATGATTTTCTTTTAGTCTCGAACACCAGCCTTAATATTTGAACACGTGAACAATACAGATTTTAAGGTGANTTATTATATATTTTGAAGTTGTTAGAATTTTTTTAATATATATAAATATTATATTTATGATACTCTTTAAAAATTTTGAATATAACTAATGATTTTCTTTTAGTCTCGAACACCAGCCTTAATATTTGAACACGTGAACAATACAGATTTTAAGGTGAGTCGGCAATATTTAAATTTAGCATTTCAATCTATTTATAGTAGTACAATATTCAGCGATGTAAAACATTAAAATAAAATAAAAATTCATCTATAATTTATAACAGATACTTTCGGCCGTCTTAGGTTTAGTCGATGGATTAGGCACCGAGGGAGGTGGCCCGGGAAGACTTTATATAGAAAACGGGCCTCTATTTAAGTATTAAACACGAGAATAAAACGTGGAAAATTTCTCATCAGTTAGGCATAAACTCGATGTTTGTTTGGTTTTTATCTCCTTGGTCATCTTAAATAATTATAGAATGCATATATTTAGCCATTAATGTAAATAATACAAAGCAAAACTTAAGCATTGCATTAAGGAAAAAGTTTGTTCTATTGCATGTTTATGTTCTATGGATTTTTGTATTTTAAATTCTGTTATTGCTTTATCCCAGCATATACACACACACACACAAAAAAGCATCCATTAACGATTTTTGATAGGAGTCCTATTAAGTGGATGCTTAAGTCATCCCTAGTCAGTGTCATGAGTAACCGGTATGGTTATATCTTAATTATAAATAGTTCTGAAGGTGAAAATCATACGGAGGTCTGGGTTTCATAACTGGTAATGCATCTGCACTGTTTGTGGGTTAGAGACTCGCTCTGGGCCAATACTTTTCTTTTGAAACTTTGTAAATTAAAATAAATAATTTATAATTATTAGGCACCATCTCTTGATAAATTTAATTACATACCTGTAGGCAAAATTACTTAATATTTAATTAATAGCTACATTAAATAGTAATCGTATTATAGCCTGATTATAATCTGGCTGATTTGTTCTTAAATTCTTTTTTGGTGTGGGTAACATAACTGGTGCATACAAGTAGTAAACTGAAGTTGCAAATTTGTGGCCTGCTCTGCATCGATCTTTTCTTTTGGAATAGTCTAAATATTTCATTCGAAAACTATGAATATTGGTATAAGATGATAGCCTGATCGTGTACGTTTAGTCAAAATTAATTTGTTTTGAAGACTACAGTTAGTCTACTTATAGTCCAAAAGAAATTAAACTTTCGGATACTTAATTGAGAACCTGAAGGTGGCCATTTAAGATAGCCAGAAACTTCAAATTACTGTCGAACTATAAGGTTTTTTAAGTTTTTAAACATTTCATAAATTATTACAGTCAAAAATAAAATGTTTTACAAAGAAAATGATATAGAAATAGTAAAACACTTCAGAAATTTCAATTAGACAAATATTAAATGTTGTTTTCTTGTCCATTAAGTTCTATAAAAAACTCCACCATACCTTTAAAATGCAGTTTATTTTGCACACTTATCTAACGTTTTTGGTCAGATTCACAGACCTTCTTCAGGATCTAACTATCACTTTAGAAGCCTGGCACATTTACAAGCGCAAAGAAAAAGGGCAAATATAAATTTCCGTGAATCAAACAAAATAGCATCGGCATGGAAAGCGGCGACATTAAAATTATAATAATGAGCATGCGCAATTTGAGAAGATTATAGAACGTGCATTTTAGAATTTCCGTTTTGCAAATTTGAAATCTGATAGTTCGATCCTGAAGAAGGTCTGTGAATCTGACCGAAAACGTTAGATAAGTGTGCAAAATAAACTGCATTTTAAAGGTATGGTGGAGTTTTTTAAATAGTAATACAGTTAGAGATATAATGATTAAGTTCTGTTTTTATTAAATAACATCAGAGTGATATAAATATAAAACTTACTAAATTACAATGAAACTGTAATTAAATTAGTGTTTTAATTACTTTAATAACAACACATTAGATTATAATTATTCTAATTAATTTAATTTCTAATTATTAATCATTAATGGTAAATATCATTTGAAATTTGAATTTATACTATGGAAAACATGTATGATCCTTAAATGTTTAGTCATTTTTAAATTTAACACGTTAACTGCTTGTCGTAATATGATACTTTCCGTCAGGGGGGCCAAAAAATGAAAATTTGATATCTAATAATTGATTATAACGTAAATAAAAGGGTCGATATACAACAGTCATAAGAGCGACGATAAGAAAAGTATATATAAACAAAAACCGGGGAGTCGTATGACCTTGAACCTGACACTGCTTTCTCCCAGGCAATAAATTTTACAACCCCACTGTAATTAGACGTCCTTCCCTACTTAAAAGTATTTACATCTGTGTGTTAAAGTATTTCACACTTTGTTTCGACTGCAAATGATGTTTTTTTTCTGTAAATATATATTAAAACGCACTTATATACTTTAATTTTTTTTAAATAATATTATTTACTTTATATGCGATAAAAGAGGATAATTAAACTAATTTTCGATATTTTAAATTATTTACTATTAAAATAAACCACTATCAGATATAAAATAGAGTTTTATTTTAAAAAAAAACTACGACTGCCGACCTTGTATCGTGTCACGACGCTACACGATGCGCTGGCGGTCGTAGCTAGAATCGGTTTGCCATACGACCGCCGGCGTTCGAAGCTAACTGAATAGATGTCCACGAGAGGCCAGCACTAAGTATGCAGAAAATGTCATACGACGCCAGGAAAATTTAACCTTGAGTAAAACTACATTGTTTACGTCTACCGGCGGTCGTATGGCGCTGTACGGGAATTTCCATTACGACGGCGCGCGCGTTGCATGGCGTTAAACGTGTTAAATAAAAATTTTTACTAATTTTATTCATTTGTTTTACAGCAACTCTATCAAACCTTAACAGACTATGATATCAGATTTTATCTGTATGAATTATTAAAGGTAAGAATTGTATTTTATTATCGACAGTAAATGTGAAGAGTAATAAATGGGATAAAAGTTAGTAGTATTTATCAACTGTTGACACAGTTTTAATTTTTGACCAAATTATTAATAATACACACGTCAACATTGTAAAATTGCAGCTGACTGTTTTTCAGTTGGTATCGGGCAACATATGCATTGCATTTTTTCCCGAAAACTAAGATGTTATAATGTATTGGTGTAGTATGTGTGTGGATCGTAGCAGTGGGGTTTTTTGTAGTTTGGCAAATAGACATTATGTTGACACACACATGTTCTGAGTGCCATGGCACCCAGTATGGCAAAGACCATTGGGATCACGACTGTCGGTTTGTGCCGTAATCTTTAAACTTCTCATTTTTAGTTATTTTGTGAGCTTTTCTGGTTTTTTTTTTTTTTTTTGCTCTTTCACGGGTATTGCTGCATCTATTAGCTACACTTTTTTTTTTTTACTGCTGTCAAATTTGGCATATTATGTGCCAGTATTTGTTTGATTCGGATTCGAAAATCCCACAGTAATTTGACTTGTTCCTTTTTGTTCAATACTGTTTCCACCAGTTCTTGGCTATTGGCAGATAATTTTTACAGATGTTCTGGTGAATCATTTTATCACAAGCATTATGTCATTGTTTATACAGTAGAGCGTCGATTTTCCGAAAGTCAATCATCCGAAAGAATTTCAGTCTGCAAATTTAAATTTTCGCCAGTGCTGTGGCGCTTCAATCTTTGGCTATGTCTTGGGCTACTCAAATATTTTACGTTTTTGATACTAAATTAACATCTGAAGTATAATTTTTTATTGTTTTTATATTTTTCAATATATTTATTTCGTTCGTACAAAATAAAAAAATAATTTTTAATGATACAATAGTCTTCGTTAAGCTTAACATTGACGAAAATTCAACGTGAAGCGACACGCAA